CAAGTACCTCATGGGAGGTGGCGCCTTCGAATCTCTTGAGGTTCCGTTAATCTTCGACATCGAAACCGAGGCGATCATCAGACCAAGCCTCCCAAACTCGCCGGAACCGTCGAGGTCTGCTATTGGCGCCTCTATACTCTGGAAGGCAGCATTGATCCAGGGGGTCGCTCATGCCCACTGCGAAGAAAGAGACGAGACAAGCCCAACGACGTTCCTCATCCACATCTCGCGCCCACCGGCATCAGGGATAGGATCGAAGACGACGCAGTCCGTCTTCCCCATACCTCCACGCGCCTTCCGCGCCCAGAACACCGCGCGGGAGACCCGCCAGATTTCCATCCCCTGGCGGAGGATCGCCACCCTGAGGATCGCAACGCATACGACGCTCGTCTCCGTCGTCGCCCCCCTGGTCGCCAAGAGGGTATTCGCCCTCGCCCTCAGATTCATCTGGTTCGAAATATGAATAATCATCGGATCCGCCGCCGCCGTCGCCAGGCACGCCCGAGCTTTTTGCGCTCGGCGGGGGCAAAGCCCCTCGCGGCATAACCAAACGCACCACCGCCGCCATCGCCTCCACCTCTGGGCCCCCGGGAACTTGGAAGAGCGAAGCCTTGGAACCGCGGGGCAGGCGCCGCCGCCACGGCGACCCCGTCTTTAATTGCCTCGGTTCCGACGCTCATCGTCTTCCCTAGCTTTCTCCTCTTGCTCAATGTCCAATTTTGCTGCGACCAGCGCTGCTTCCGCCCGCTTTTCCGCGCGCCGTTTCTTCGCTGCTCATTGGCCGCAGCGCGGCGTTCAATTTCATGTTCTGCCTCGCGCAGAAATAAAAGTCAGCGCATCGCGACCTGCCATGGCGCTGTTCTCCAACGCCCCCAGGCGTCGAGCTACCTCGCTGCCTATCCGTTGCCGCGAGGAGGCCGCGGCTTCGCCGAGCGGCCCCCCCGGAATAGGACGACAATCGAAAGGCCCTGCGCCTGGTAGAAATTGAGCGGCCACGCGCTCTTCCATCCCCGCTGCGACCTCGCGCCCCCCCCCCCCCCCCCTGCCCCATCCTCTGCCCCCCGCCCCCTTCGAGCGGGCGCGGCGAGGCACGTCGCGCAGCGACTTTCTGCCTAAGCGAACTGACCCCCGCAGCGGGCAATCGCGCAGCGCCGACAGTCGCGAACCGCTGTCTTCGCACATATAAGACGCCACAGAGAACCAGCGCCCGCCGCCAAGCGAGCAGCCGCGCGCGCTGCATCGCGCGAGCCCGACGCTACGCCCGGCGCTCTGACAGGTGCTGACGACCTTCTCTAAAGCATGCTCTCTCAACTTGCTCTGGAAATGCCGTTCCGACAGCTCGCGGCACTGCGCCTCGCGACGAGCCCCCCCCCGTTCAAGCGTCTGCGTCGCAGCCGCTGGCGCGTCGCGGGATGCAGCGACCAAATTCGCGTTGACTTCCTGTTCCGCCATGTGAGCTCGTCGCAAAGCCTCCTGGGCCTCAGCAATGGCGCGCGAAGCTGGGGCTCTCGATTCCGAGGCAATTGCAAACTCCCGCTGCCGAGAGTCATCGATCTCTTCTCGGGCTCGACGCAGGACAACTGCGCCCTCGTCTGCATTTCGCTCGGCTGCCTCGACAGCGGCCCCCCGGCCGGCAGTTGCTGACTGAATCTCGACGCTGGCCACAGAGGTCAACTCAACATTGCTTTCTACTGCAGCCTTGAGTTCTGCAGTCAGATGACACACCGCCGACAATTGACTTCGGCTGGCCCCCCGGACAGCATGGGCAGCCTGTGCAGCAGCAGTCTCAGAAGAAACTCGCGCCTGCCTGTCAGCCACCTCACATGCCTCGAGAAAGTGCGTCATTTCTTACGTCTCAACATGAGCCCTCTCGGTTCTGTCGACCATCGCGAGGCGCGGGCGTTCCTCGGAACGTTCCGAGACGCGAGTGGCAGCCTGCTGGTCGCGCTTGATTTGCAGCCGCGCCGCGGCCCTCTGCTGAGTTCCGCGGCCCAGACCTGCTCCTGCAGATGCGTCATTTCTTTGTTCTCCGCCCCCCATCGGGGCGGCGCGCTTCCCCCCCCGCGCCCCCCCCCCGGTTCCAGGCGGCGGAGGGCCGCGCAATCATGCGCGCTGGGAACAGGGCAGCCGGCGCTCAGAAAACTTAAGTTGTACCCGGAGCAGTTCACCGAGCGCGCCGAGCGCGCCGGCTGTTCGCATTTGCCAATCATTATTGGGCAGGCGCCTGAACTTAGGAGCATCGGCACAGTCGACTCGTTTGTGAAAGCATTCTTCCCGCGCGCGATAGCTCGATTCGTCCGAGCGAGCAGCAGGCGGCGATCGCGACGACGCCCCCGCCGCCGCTCGAGGCCCCCGCCGCCTCGCGGGCGCTCGAGATCGAGCCCCTGCGGGGGGGGCCTTATGACGGAGGCCCGGGCAGACATGTCATCCGCCGCCCCGGTCGACTCGTCTCTGCGCCCCCAGACGAAGGGGGCGCCATGCGATCTGCGCCTCGGTCTTCAGCAATTCCCAGACCAGCATTGCCCAGCTCCTCTGATGGGCACACCGTCTTCGTCCGTTTGGTCATCGGCGAGTTCAACAAGGCGACGCCATGTCGGGGTTGCGTAACCGCTGGCGTTCGTGAAACGTCACCAGAGAACGGACATTCACAGGGAACGTTGATAACCTCAAGATCTGAACTGGACAGGGTCTCGCGTTCCTGACGAAGGAGCTCGACTAAACCATCGGTTCGACGATCATGTCCCTCCTCGTTCGTTCCGGCAACGTCATCAGCAAATGAGGAAGAACGGTCAGATACCTCGTCATCCGAGGATACTTCGATGGGCGGAATTATTCTGCCTATGTTGGATCATATTCTGGCCTAGGCGCGCCTGGACGAAAAGGGAAGCTCTCGCCGCTAGACAGGGAGACAGGGACGTTCATGCTCGCATGCTGCGAGGAACGTAGGGTCGGGTCCCTGACGTCGCCAGGGTCTCGGAAGACGACTTTCGCCGCTCTAACTCACGTGGATGTTCTGGCGCACCAAAAACAGCATCTTCATCATCAACTCCTGAAGGGAATGCCTCCTGGCCTCGTGGAAGAATTCTCGGCTGATAACCACTCCGGTTGCCTCTCCACCGCTATATTAGGAAAGCGGTACTGTTGTTGATGAGTTGTTCTGCTTGTTGACTTCGTCTTCTTCTAGCAGCTCACCAGATGCTGACCTCCCACGACAAGCTGCTGAATACATGACTGCGTAAGTCTGTAATGAAAACTACTCGAAGCAAAACGTAGTGTATCAGTATGCGCGCGCGTAAGGTGGGCCCGCCCGGCCGGCCAGCGCGAGCGCTTTTGCTTGAGAAACTATCACACCTTCGGAGACAATCCCACCGCATGATCCATGCCGCACCTACATTCTGCAACGGAAAACGGTGGAGGGCTGCACAAGTAGGCGAAAAGAACGTTCGTAATGATTTGTTCGCCTCCCTCAAGTGTTCCCCTATTCCACCGGTCTCCCTTTGCCCCTCCCACGTCCTTCCCCCCTTTTCACCATCCTCTTTCATCCTTCAAATTTCCTCTTCTGCTCGCACGACCTCAAGAACCGTCAGGAAAGTTAGATCGGCAAGCAAGTCCCAAGCTGGTATCGCCTGCCGCTAGCCCATTCATAGCACAACCTTGCACGATACACTTCTGCATCATATACTACTTGATTTGTCCTCCTTCTCTTTTTCCTAGTCCCCCTCCCTGCCCCTGTTCAGCCTCCTCCCGGTCCTCAGCTTCCCTCCCGTCCTCCACTTACGACTTGCGCTTCCGTTACATATAGTAGTATTGAACAGCTTCTGAATCCCTGGGGGCACTTGAGCACTGATGGGGTATAACGCATCCAGCACGCGCAGGTTTATGTAGCACATGAAGCAATTTAATTCCACGTGCGCCAATGGAGCACGGCTGCAAAGATGACAATCCGATGGCTTCCGTAATGGAGCACGGCTGCGAAGATGACCTTAGTGACTTGCAGTGGACCGCGGCCTCGAAGATGATAATCCAGTGGCTTTCGCAATGGATCGCTGCTGCGAAGGTGAGAACCCTTGCTTTCGCGATACATGAAGAAAGGAGTCGAGACAAGACTCTTGGAAAGGAGGACAAGAGGATAACACTGCGGCCCCAGGCGCGGGGGCAGTAACAGGATGCGCCTCTGAAGCAAGAAGGTGGCGGGCAGGAACACCCTGTCAAACCTGTTGCCGCGAAGACCGCACCCTTGCCTCCTTTGACCTCAATTCGGCGTTTCCAAAACCATTTTCCTGGAACGACGACGACGATGCGGGGGGGAGTCTGGGCCTGTCCAAGGTGCGCTCCGGCCCGAACTCCGAGGCGGATCCGGCCGTGGCCAGCAGGGCACCCCGAGGAACCCAAGAGTTCAAAGTGTCCAAGAACCTCGACCAACGATCATCGACCAACGACGACGACAACAACAAAGCCGAGAAGACGAAGAACACGAGAACGACGAGGAGGACCAGGAGAGTAACGACGACGACGACGACGACGACAACAACAAGGACGAACTCGTCGCGCCGCTGCGCTAGGGGTGCGCCCAGCCGTGGCCACGAGAATCCTCCCAGAGGCCAAAAAACGGCGGGGGTGCAAGCACATCCAGAAGAATCGATCCTCGAACCTCAAGGTCGACGAGATCGGATAACATCAGGTGAGAATACATCGAGAATCTCCGAGCTCCTGCGGCTCTGGAGGATGCCTCGGGCGGCGCAGCCTTCCCAGAGCGTTCCGGAACGGTCTGAGAGCGTTCCGGTGCGCTCTGGAACTGACTTATCCTCGTCCTGGCCCCGTCCGACTTGACCCCCTCGTCCATCCTGGCCAGGCCAAAGCTGGGCCCAGAATCGCTGTGCACTCCCTGACGGTTCGGCCAGAGAGGTGGGCGCACCCATCCCGAGGCTGGAAGCGGACTGGCCGGGCTCGGCGAGGCGGTCAGCACACGTCCCCGGCATGAGGGGGCGGAGCCGCGGAGCGCTCCTCGGATGCCTCCTCGGCCATCTCGCGGAGCGCCAGCTCGCGCAGGCCTCTCGACACGCCGCCGACGCTCATGCCCTGGCGCGCACAGACGGCGAGGAGCCCCGAGGATCGAGAATCAGTCCTGCAGGATGTCGTCGTCGTCGTCGTCACTCTCCTCGTCCTCATCCTCCTCCCTTCTCTGCTCGTCCTCTTCCCCCCTTCCCGTCCGTAGCCATTTGGGCCCAAGGAGCCTGAATCCGCCTCACATCCACGTGGCAGTGTCCATCCTTCGTGACTTTAATTTTGTGTTGGCTATAAGGGCGGAGGCAAAGAGGGCCTCAAGGACAAGTCAGGCGCTTCAGTAGCCTCGCAGAGGAGCTCACTGTGGACCAAGTGCGGGTGGAACAGTGCAAGTGCGGGGCCCACGTGCGGACGTTTCCTCCGTCGGACAAGAAGGGCCCAAAACAGCTTGCAGGTGCTCCTGCTCCATTCACAACAGGTCTTTCTTAGATTCTTCAGCAGGCTCCTCAGGTGGCGGACCCTGGCATCAAAATGATCTTGCAACAACAAGTCAATCAAATGAGACCAAGTCCAGCAACCAAGTCGAGCTTGGTCCCAGATGAGGCCATGCGACGTGCGGCGGCGGCAATAAAGGATGCGTGCTACAAGCATGACCGGGTCATCAACACGGTGGTCAAGCTGAGGCAGCAGTTACCAAAAGCAGAAGATAAGGAGCGCCTTGCACCCATCACCTTGGCGGAGACCGAGAACGCCAAGAAGTTAGCAGCCAGGGCGTTCGCTGTGCAAAAGGGCCAAGCAGCTTCGCAAGGCGTTCGACGCACGGCGACTGGCGGAGTTGGCTGTGGCAGTGCAGGACAGCCGCAGTCAGAGGAGATGCTATTCAGACGATCGTGGCACGAGGGGTTCTTTAGCAGCATCGATGAGCGTGTGGAGTTCAAGGAGAGCGAGCGCATAGAGCTCAAGTAGGCGCACGAGGAACTGTTCAAAGTCAAGCGGTCCATCGACGGAAAGTCGAACAATATTCAGCAGTTGCCCGACGAGTAGGTCCAGGAGGCGCTGCAGAAACGACTCGACAAGAAGCGGAAGGTCGCCAACGATGGCGCGCAGGGGGTAGGCGTGGCAGCATGTGGCTCAGGTGCTGCGTTCAGAGCGGCAGGCGCAGGCAGCGGCAACAATGGCGACAGCACCGACGAGGCAGCCATCCGAGCCAAAGCGGAACGACTCGGCGCAGCCAAGTCGCAGGCGGCGACGGCAGCAGCGGAAGCGGCGGCGGTGTAACCTGGTGAGAATAATCCCTTGGGATAAAAAAAAAATAAGGATCCACGCGGGAGAATAGTTCTTCCCGGAGACATCGATGTTCGGACGTCGGATCGCGTTCCGCCTGAGACATCCTCACAATCAGAGCTACGATTGGAATTTGGAGGGGATGATCAAGTTCTGCCTCCCCGCGTGCTTTTTTAAACTGAACCAGGGGTGGGAATAAATCGAGACCAAACGCAGGCCCGCCCGCAGCCAGCGCCATCGGGCATCAGGCCTACGTCGATGTCACCCCATGGGGATTCACCGCCAGCAGCGGGAGGCTCAGGGGCAGGGGGCAACTCCTTCGACGAAGTCTGGAGTGGCTCAGGATTATTCTGGCGTCACTTTTTTTCTTCACTCACCTAGATACGAGCTACGTTCTTGAGAAGAAGTTGCGAGCTACGAGCAGTGGTGGTCTAGTCAACGTTGTTACGTTCGGCGTTTCGACGTTGGGCAGAAGGCGGGGGAGGGGGGGGGGGTCGGGCTTCGGACCTCTGCTTAATGCGACTGTTTGCAGCAGTGCGTCCTAAGGGGAGGCTCCACCTGCTTGAAAGAGGCCCCCAAAACAGCCAAGATCTACTCCATAGGTGGGGGTGCGAGGGCCCGCGCCGATCAGCAAAACAATGCATAAAGAAACGACCACTTTCTTCAGTAACATTACCAAGCAAGCTTGACAGACAGGGTACGAGTTAACTACACTCATGAGGAGAAGCTACGAGCTACGAACAGTGATCTAGGGGAGCTCGCTCGCTGTGTTTCAAGCCTTGTTCCAACCCGACAAGGCCGTCTGAGCGGGAGAGATCTGCGAGAAGAGTGCCCGCGCAAACGAAAGAAGGGAGGCGTTCTCCAGCAAGTCATGCGGGCAAGCTTGTCGGGTTGGCTCGCAAGTCGAACTTACTGATATCAGCGCGTCGTCGTGTAACTCGTTGGTGCCCGTCCCATGCTGGTTCAGATACAATGTTACCCCCTAGTTGAAAAGTGCCAGTCGGATATCCTCACCTCCCAGCACAGAGTTACTTACGAGCTATGTATCTCCACCCTCGGCCCAACAAAAACTGCCAGCCAGATAATTGCGACACCTGGCTCGAAACTGCCAGGAAGACGTCCCCAATCCCAGCACGGAACTGCTGCGCACATGCGACCCCGTGGCTCAAGACTCCTAGACAGATGCCCACACTCCAGCAAACAACTGCTGACTAGATATCCTCATCCCCTGGCCGAACACTGCCAGCCACGTGCACGCACATCCTGGCCCAAGACAACCCGCCAGATATTATTGCCCACCTGCACAGAAATACTGGCCACGTGTCATCGCCCCCTAGCGACAAACTGCCAACCAAACATCCTATCCCCGACCCAGGCCAAAGACTGCCAGGCAGATATTCTCCAGCAGGCAAGGCATCCTGACCCCATAGCGTACAGCTGCCAACAAGATACCCTCGCTCCTGGGCCCGACATTGCTAGGCAATCTTCTTATCCCCTAGCCCAAAGCTGACAACCAGATACCCACGTTCGCCGGCTCCAAAGATGTCAGGCAAATATGTTTAGCCCCTGACGCAAAACTTCCAGCCAGAAGTCCTCGCACCCTGGCCAAAAACTGCCAACCTGAAACCCTCACCCTGCTGCCCAAATTGCCAGCCAGATGCCCTCAACCCCCAGCCCAAAACTTTCAGCCAGATGCCTTCGCGTACTGGCTCGAACCTGCCAGCCCGATATCCTCATCCCCCCCGCCAAAACCTGCCAGCCAGAAGTCCTCGCCCCCTGGTTCAAAACTGCCACCAGACCTCCTCGCCCACTGACCCAAAACTGCCAGCCAGCTCGCTGCCCGCAGGCAAAGCTGCCAGCCTGGCTTCCTCACCCCATGGCACTGAACTGCAAACCAGATATCCTCACTCCCGACGGTCAAACTGCAACGCTACGGCCTGTGCAGTCAATCATACGTCATCTGTGCGAATCTCGGGTAGAGGGGGGAACAAGTTCCACATGAGTTGTTCAATGTTCCCCGACGCCCCCCTCCCCACACACACTGGAAATGTAGGGCACATCGGGGCCTTCGGGTTGGGTTAGGGTGGACTGGTTGGTGATGACCCCCACCCTCACCCACCCATCTTTCTTTCCTCCTCCCTCCCACGCACCCTGTCCCCACAACTTTCCCCTTCGCCCCTCCCCACCACGGCTACGTACCTGGACAGATGACTTCCCATGGGGGCCTGGATAGCGATCCCGCGGATTGGAGCGGAATGAAGTGGACACCGCTGCGATGTTTATTATGGGTTTTAGGAACACTCGGGCTTGAGAACTGGATCGCCCAATCGATTGCTCAACTCGTCTCAAGACTTTGGGGTTCAACCTCCTGGCAATCCTGTCGAGATACGTTCTACCCGTGACAGACTTCCAGTACGCACAAGGGCCTTCTAGAGTCCGCAAGGCCTTAGCGGTGATAGCCTAATACTCAGAGCAACACCAAATGGGTCGGACGAACTTTTGGGGTGCGCGTAGTGTGGGCCAAACTCCCCGCGACATGGATTCGCGCCCTTTTCGCCGGTGAAAAGAAGACTCCGTCTACCTAATAGAGCCTGGGACAGTCAGAATCCACGCGCGCCCCGCTCTGCCCATACGGTTCGCTCCTTTTTGCTCGCGTACATCGTTCCACTCGTTTCGCTTTTGCGAACTCCTCCTCAAACGTCCTCGCCCCCCCTGATGTCCCCGTATCCCGATCGATCTTCCTTTCTATCACTAGACAGCTCGCACTTGGGCCCGCGACCAGCCCAGGCCGAACACAAAGAAGCGAGAGTACCGCCGCGGCTGATGCGAGGCCCCGGACTGGGACGATTGGGCAAAGCCACGAACTCGGCGAACACAATCAGTCAAACATGTACGCCGCGAATCTGCCAGTTTGATAGATTCGCGCATAAACTCAAACTACCAGCCATAGATTTTCACCCCCAGGCTCGAAGCTGTCAGCCAGACATCATCGCTCCCTGGCGCAGAATTGCCAGCCATATATCCTCGCCCCAAAACTAGAGACCGCATGCCAAATACCCTTGCCCCCTGGCACGCAGCTGCCAGCCGTATATCCTCGCCCCCTTGCTCGAAACTGCCAGCCCCAAATCGTCACCCCCACCCCTTGACCCAAAACTGCCAGCCAGATTTACTCGCCCACTCCCCAGAAAGTTGTCCAAACGAATTCGGGGACCACATGGTCCGATAGCTGGGCAAAACTCTAGCCCAGCAAGGCCGAACACATGTGCAACATTGCAAAAGTCAAACACCCACGAGGCTCCAGACCTCTCGGAATCATCTCGAAAGAAAGCTGCCATACTCCTTGTCTTTATATGTTGTTTTCTGGTCGCCAACGTGTTCCCCGAAAATGTTCCACAACAGCTCGGGGAACATACGGTCCGATAGCGCATCCGGAGAGCCAGTATTGCCTCCAAGACAAGCCAGAAGCAACTCAAGTCAAACCACCAACTCGGTTTTGAAAGTTTCCCAACACGGTTTCCGAAGGCGCCAGACGGGCCATGGACCCTTCCGACGGACAAAGACGCCCCAACTTCTGAGTTTCCTCCTTTTTCCCCTTCTTGTTCCCAGGAAACCAAATAGGGCCCCAAGAACTCTCCTCCGCGTGGTCCGCCTTTTGTACTCTTTCCTCCTCTGCTTTTTGCCATCTCAAAGATCTTCCCAAGGTTTCCAAAAGAGTTGGGGGAACAAATACTCCACGAGCTTGGCCAGACGGTGGTCCAACGTTTCAATACCAGGAATCGTGAACATATACA